GGCCAGCACCCTGCTCCGGCTCCGATCTCAGATTGTAGATCTCAGATTCCTGAATAGGTTTTAGTTGAGCAGAGATTTCTAAGGCTCACTAAGGTTTCAGAATACCTCAATCTCTGTCTTTGTTTTTAAGTAATTGAGCAGATAAAGACACAAGATAAACGCGATAAACGCAAACAGCATAAGATACCATGATGATGATTCTATATATGCGTGATTCGTGTTTTTTTATTGACATAGAAATCGAAATCGAATCGGCACAGAAGAATTTTCCTACATCTTTTGTATTGCATGTCGACCCTCTTCTTTGTGAGCGTGAGCTGTCGCAAGAGGCGCCTATTCTTCAGATAAAGTTTCGTAAAATCCTTTCACCTTTACACCCTAAGCTACTTTTTTTTGAATAAATGTCGCGTGGGGAGCTTCCGGCTTGAAAGGTAAACACTTTCACTTCGGAGTTACCTCGACGAGATAGTACGGGCATGCATAAACGTAGAGCACAGCAATCTACAACTCCACTTTTTAGGGAAGAATTTGAACTCGTTTCAATCGAAAGTTTCTTTTCTTTAAGCTCAACAACGACGTTCGTTAAATCCCTGCCGCTTTCTAGCAGCACCTAGACACGCGAAAAATGCCGATGTAGGAGGGCAAGACGATGCATCACTCCTCAGACTATGCAAGAAGAAAAAAAATTGCTTGTAAGGCTGTTTTCAAGAAGGGGCTCTCCTAATGCATACTTGACTCTGATAATGCTGGAAAATCTTTACACTAGCGCTTCTGTAGAGATAAAACAAATGATAAACAGGCTTCCTCTATATTTTGGACTATGAGGTTTTGTCGGGGTTCGGGGTCGGTCTCTTTCCATCCCTCCAACTCCACGCGCTGAGGCAGTTTAGCTCACTCGTGGCCTTCCCCAGGCACACGCCATCCTCCGTCCTAATCTGGGACCATGTTGGTTTCCCTCCCAGCATGCCCTCCGCTCCCCGCGCATTAAGGATTCCTATACCGAAGAACGGGTTTGAGTACAACAACGCCACGCTGAGAAAATTAAAATGTCGTGGTGGAATCTTCCTCAGTGGCCTGCAAGGTGGACTCTACCAGGAAGTCCACCAGCAACAATTATTGCTTTACCCCATGCCTACAGAATTCTAAACTACGTCTTCCAACAACAAATCTGCCGTTCATGTGAGTCCCTCAAGCTCTATTTCCAAAACGTCCACTAGTGGGCACCTCCAGTCCCAATGCCCATCCGATGTAGAACATCTAGGTCATCATTGCCACAAGGCCCACGCAAATAACGCTACTGCTTACTTCAAAGCGGTAGAGTCATACTCAGAATTATTAGCAGTCCCACGTAGCTCATTACCTCATATAAATTGTTATTGTTCAAGAGTTAGCTCATAAATATGAAATGCTGCATCAGTCGAGTAAACTTGGAGGGGTCGAAGACCTGGCTGGAATCCAATCCAGACTCTGGTCGCACATGGGATTTGCGCCACGTGTCACTGTGGAATTGAAAATGCTGTGGGAGCTTGGGAAAAAGTTGTCTTTTGTCGATCTATTTGACCAGTATTCTATAACCTCTTGAAATCCCAATGTGTCCATAACTTCCCAACAATCCTTTACGTTGAAAATATTTTCCGCTTGAAGTCCTTTTTTTCGAAGGAGTGTATAGCACTTCAAAAACTGAAAAGCCGCTTTGTCGTACAACAACAGACAGTACAAAGCAATCTTTTGCTTTAACATATGGAAAAGTCAACGGAATTGTAGTTGTTAATTTCTGAGATACATAAGCATTTTAACGTATTA